CGCCGCTCTCCACGCCCAGCACCTCCTGCAGCCGCCGCGTCCCCGGCACCTTGTACTCCTGCGGGAGCCACGGGGACGTCACCGAGCGCCGGGGACCATGGAGGGCACCTCGGGGTCCCCTGGGGGCACCTGGAGGGCTCTGGGGCATGAGGGTCTTGGTGAGGAGATCTGAGGGGTTCGGGGCTTCTTGGGGACAAGATACGGACATTGGGGGTCTCTTTGAAAGCATCTAAAGGGCTTTGGGGCTTGAGGGTCTTGCTGAGGGGATCTCAGGGGTTCCGGGGTCAAGAGATGGGGATTAGGGCTCTGTGAGGAGATCTGAGGAGTTCTGGGCTTCTTGGGGACAAGGGAAGGGGATCTAAGGTCTCTTTGAGGACACCTGGAGGACTCTGGGGCTTGAAGGTCTTGCTGAGGGGAGCTGAGGGGTTTGGGGCTTCTTGGGCATAAGAGAAGGGGATCTAAGGTCTCTTTGAGGGCATCTAAAGGGTTTTGGGGCTTGAGGGTCTTGGTGAGGGGAGCTGAGGAGTTCTGGGCTTCTTGGGGACAAGGGAAGGGGATCTAAGGTGTCTTTGAGGGCAGCTGAAGGGCTTCGGGGCTTGGGGGTTTTGGTGAGGAGATCTCAGGGGTTCCGGAGTCAAGAGATGGGTGTTACGGGGTCTCTGTGAGGAGATCTGAGCGGTTCTGGGCTTCTTATGGACAAAATAAGGACATTGGGGGTCTCTTTAGGAGCATCTAAAGGGCTTCGGGGCTTCAAGGTCTTGATGAGGAGACCTCAGGGGTTCCACGGTCAAGATATGGGGTTTAGGGGGTCTCTATGAGGACACCTGAGGGGTTCTGGGCTCCTTGGAGACAAGATGAGGACATTGAGAGTCTCTTTGAGGGCATCTAAAGGGCTTTTGGGGTCCCTGGATCCAAGAAAAGGGGGTTGAGAGTCTTTAAGAGGAGACCTGAAGGGCTCTGGGATTCAGAGGTGACTGGGGGGCCCTTTGGGGACATCTGAAGGGTTTGTTGGGTCCCTGGATCCAGGGAAAGGAGGTTGGGAAGGTCCCCGGGGCCACTTCAGGGGTTTGGAAGCTCCTGGGACCAAGTGAAGGAGATTGGAGGTCTATTTGGGGACATTTGAGGGGCTCTAAGGTCCCTAGGACTCACGGAAGGGGATTCTGGGGTCCCCAACGGGGATTTTGGGGTCTCTTGAAGACCATCTGACGGATTCTGGGGTTCCTGGGGCAAAACCAGGAGATTTGGGAGTCTCTTTGAGAAGATCTGGGAGCTTTGGAGGTCCACAGGGGAGAAAGAGGACGCGGTGGCACCGGGGCCCCCCGGGCGGCCGCGGGGCCACCCCTGGTCACCTTCTTGGTGTCCTTGCTCCTCTTGAGGGCCCAGCCGCCCTCGGGCAGCTTCTCGAAGAACTTGCGGGCCTTGGGCGCCTGCTCCAGCATGTGGGGCGGAGGCAGCCCCAGCACCTCCACGATGCGGCTCATCTGGTCGGCCTGGGGACACGGGGGACGGCGACGTCCTGTGGGGATGGCCCCAAAGCCAACATGGCCCTTGTAGAGATGTCACTGATGGCCCCAAGGTCACCCTGGCCCTCGTGGGGACGTCACTGATGTCCCCAAGGCCACCATGGTCCAATGGGGATGGCCCCGAGGCCATCATGGTCCTTGTGGGATGTCCCCAAGGCCATCACGGCTGCTGTGGGGATGTCACTGATGGCCCCAAGGTCACCCTGGCCCTCGTGGGGACGTCACTGATGTCCCCAAG